TTAAAATGGTACGGCCCTAAAAGTACAAGACAGCAAATAATGGCACAAAATCTTTACTGGTTTCCCCCTATGCATCGTTACATTCAACGATATACCCAGGGATATATGAAATATTTCTACAATAAGAAACCACATGGTAAGCAACCGGGATTCTTGAATCCAATCAACAAGGGTAACAGACCTCTGGAAATACTGCATATAGATCACCTAGCATCCTTTGTTGGTCGTGGTAGAGGCGTTTACGAAATTTGTATTTTTGAAGGAAACAGTACGAAAATTGATCTAGCGTCAATTTTCTAGATGAAATCATTGAAATATTCGGAGTTCCACGTCGTATAGTCTGTGACAAAGCTACAGCGTTCATAAGCAAACGATTTGTGGAGTACGCTAGAGATAGAGGATTTCAAATGATTAATAATGCAATCTCTATTTACTAAACACGACCGTCAACAGTGCTACAAGCAAATGTGCCTATGAGTTATTTTTTTGGTTACCGACCAAGAGGGGTTTATTAGAAATGCACTGGACATTAATGAGGGCTCAATTCGTTAGAAGCACTACGGGTAGAAGCATCAGAGAGAACGAAAAACGAGTCAAATAAACATGTAAAAATGTACAGGTTCTTTCACCAGCAAGTGTAGCAGTCCATTTGTGGTCACGAAGAAACTGCCCAATGACAGGTATTGTATCGAAGACCTTCCAGGATCGTATTGATCACATAAGCCATACAGAGGTGTGTGTTCTGTGGACTATATGAAATTGTTTCAAACGGAACAGGACAGTGATAGCTCTGAGGCATTGGGTGATGGACAGACTAATTAGTACTAAATGGATACGAACAGTGATAATTTGTACGGTACAGAGGGTATCATGTCTGGCTTTCTTTTCCGGTGTAACGAGAGCCGTCTGCAAAGGCGTCGACGAGGGTACCATGCCGACTGTTACGAATTCAAAAAGGATGCGAGCGATGGTAGTGCCATCTCCGCTCAATGCATCATCATCCGCAAGATCGAAAAGTGAAGCGGTTGAGTCATGTCTGACGCGCTTGCGAAAAAAAAATCGATCAAGACAAGACAGTGTGCTGTTATGTTTTTGTGTTCCTTTGCCAATCTTTTCTGGACTTTATAACAATATGTATATTAATTTTAGCTCCTGGGGGTCATCATCAAAAAAATAAAATAAAATTCGCAAAGCTAAATTTTTAAAATTCTGTCGAGATATAACCTGCGATTAATTTTTATGTTGAGGCCAATTTTATCGTAAGGAATTTTCAAGCCTTTTGAAAAATTTGTTTCATTTTAATTTAAAGATCGACCGTTCTTATTGAAAAACCGTATAGTTGAATGTGCGCAACTGCAAGCGGTATTTTGGGTTGCTGCTCTAAAAGGCAAGGCTCGAGCCACAGTATAGATATCATTCAGTAGGGACAACTCGTGTCGGCGCCTTTGATCTTTCTGACCCGAATTTTAAAGCGTCATCGGTGGTCGTTGCCTAGTCTATTTCTAGATGTCGCCACCCAATTTAAAAATTATCACAATCGCAAAAGAATTAAAAATAGTGCAAAAAAAAAAAAATTGAAGTTGATCTTACAAACCACACAATATATGTATTATAAAAATAATAAATTAAGCGCCCTATAACACCGATGTCGTGTTGAAATTAAGATTTGGCGGAATTTGACCCCACTTCTCTGATTACGATTTTACGTTTCCTTAATTTCTTTTTCATGTCCTGATGGTTGTAAAATTCAACATTATTAGAAAACGCTAATATACGTTTTATTTTTTTACAAAAAAATTAAACAGTAAACAATGGTTCCATCAAAACATGAACAATGTTTTTTAGAATGTCTTTGTGAAAATTACATTTAACTGCAATAATTACACCGGAAGATCAGCCATAAACCATCAAAACCAATGTGTAAGAAAGAGAAGTACCTTGCGTTGCGCACCCTCATACGGTCACAAGACAAACGACCACCCATAAAAAAGGGGTCAGTAAAAATAGCGAGTTGTCCCTACTGAATGATCTCTATACTGTGGCTCGAGTGGATCATCTTACCCGAATAACCTAATGTTACTGCATATGCAATCTACAAATGTATTGCACTGTTTATTGCGAATATTTGCATACTTTCATTCTTTTTTTCACCGCTCCTCTATGTAATCGAGGCAAACCATCCTGAAGGCCGTTTGATGTGGAACATTCGAACCACGACCCGGGGCCCCGCTGTAGAAGATCTCCAGATGTCCAGACGTCCGTTTCATCGTAATCGTCGCTTTTTTAATTTTCAGTTGTACTAACCGTTCTCGCAGGGATTTTCCGGAAATTCGTTAATTTAAGTACAATCCAATTTCATTCATTTATATCTAAGGTTTTTGGATGGCTATTCCCTAGTTACTACATTTTTCTAAAATTCATGTTAGGAAAATTGCAAACCAAATTTAAAATATTCAGTCGTTGAAAGTGGTGCGCTTAATGTTACCATATTTTGGTACGACTGCTTTAATGGGTGCTCGCCTAGAAAATACGTTCCCAGTTCATTTTTGCATTAGTCAACAGACAAATGTCGGTTGACCTACTAATTATCGGTAGGATAAAAATTGCCAGAAATCTGGATCTTTGTTTTATTTTACGATTTAAGTTTTACCACCTGCATTTTCATATTTTTTATTGGTGCAATTAAATGTAATAGCTCCCTTTGACATTCTGACATTTTCCCAAATTTTGTTCACCAAGAATTTAATGAATATTTATAATCGGGGAGGTCAATTTCTAAATTGCGAGCCGCATAATTTAAAAACGCAAGTTCAGCATGATTTCTTTCTTTTCCAAATTCGTGTTCGGGCTGTGTAGCCGGACTAGCGTGGATGGGCAGTCCGACCCCTGGGCGAAGGCTCGAACGCCGTGTTTGAGCGCAAGGTGTGGCTGCGTGCGGATGTCCATAAAGGACTCAACATAACTTAAAAAACTGGAAGAAATGTACCTCTTTGATCACAGGCATGTTTTGTTACATGTAATACTAAATATGTATTTCTTTTCAGTTCTAATCATTTTATCAAATTTGAATAAAAGATGTTCCCTTTCAATGCTGACTTTAATTTCCTACACTCTTCCCGTTCCGCTAATTTGTATCAGAACGCATTCCGCCATTTCAAAACGCAACGTACGGTTCCATTTTGTTGACGATAACGCTCATAGCCACTTTTTCAAACGTTAGGCGGGTTTTCAAATTTTGTGCGCATGTATCAAATTTTCGCGGAATGTTTCGGTTATCACAATTATTACCAAAGTTGAAAATAATTGGACTGCTACAATTAATTCGTCATAATTTTTGGAGTAATCATTGCCATCCACATCTTATTTATTATTTATAAAAAAAATTAATACGAAGTCGTTTATGAAAAGTAAAATGTGTTGCCTATTCATAAATATCCATGTGTCTATTTGACCGGATCATTACTAGAATCGCCGAACAGTGATAAAAGCGAGTGATCAATGTGAGAGCAGCAAATCTAGCGTTGCCACTAGTTAGACAACACGTAGCTTGAAACTTTAGTAAATTCAATTGAGTTTTAGAGAGGCTATCTATTAGTTTTAGTACAGCACCACATTGATTCTACAGTACGGCTAATTGTAATACATATAGATGTACAAAGTGATCTACAAGAGATGTAGCAGAAACTATACATAAACTACAGAGAGATCAAAAATTATTGAGACAGTTGGTACCTACTGTTTTTTTCTTCAAATTGTTAACCTGATGACAAATCTTTGGCAAATCATTGGAAGGTAATGATAATTCCAGTGGCGTGACTGGTAAACGGGACGGCTATCCAACGGGACAATCAAATAAAGCACTAATTATACGCAACTAAGAATGTCTTACCAAGTTTATTTCAAAGTATCATAGAAAATTAAAAATAAATAAATAAACAAAACGTAATAGGGAAACTAAAGAAGCAGAAAAAGATTACAACAAATATTGAAAATGTAGCCCATTATTTTTTAAGCAAATATACACCCTTCTTTTAAAATTTTCAAACACGTTGTGTAAAACTTGGAGACCGATACTATTTATTTCACGGACTATAGCATCTTGTGAGTCGTCTAAACTATGAGGTCTATTGCGAAAAATGTTGTTTTTTAAGTGTCCAAACAAAAAGTTATTTGGAGTTGTTAAGTCTGGTGACCTAGAAGGCCATAATCCTCTACTAATCACTCTGTCAAGAAATATGTGTCGTAAATAGTGCGGCGTAGTAGCAACTGTGTGAATCGCACCGTCTTGTTGAAAAAAACAATTGGCACGTACTATGTTGCATTCTTTCTTCAACATTGTGAACTGCCTGTTCAGTTACCACCGATGCCGGTCTTCCAGTTGACTTTTTTTGTTCGATACTACCGGTTTCAAGAAACCGCCCAACAATATGTATACAATGTTGTGTAAAAAGATGAAATGCAATTTGTATATCAGGATACATGACCAACTGGTCATAACAAATCTCTATGGAAGCCATCCAGTTCTCAAATTCATCTTGGGTTCCACTGCAAAAATATGCCATTACCATGAAGGTATTTTGCTCCACAGAAAGAGACATGTTTTGAAGAAAAAAACTGAACCAAAAACACAAACCTACAAACTAGTCGCAAATTAAAATGCTGAAATGCCGATCAATCGATTCAATGGGGGCAAAAGTAACACCTACGCGACAAAGTCAAGTTCTTGCCGCCAACTTAAAAACCAAAATTATTCTAATTCAGTTTTGCCAACTATTTCAATCATTCTTGATCTCGTTGTATAAAAAAATACCTTGGTAGAAGAACGTGTATCCTAAGACTTTGGACACAACATAAATCTTTATTGTTAGTACCAATTTTTGTCAGAAAATTGGACCAATAACTAGGCATCCACTTCAAGAAAAATACGTATTTTCCTCATTTATTTTTAAAATATACAAGTCGTCACTGTCAATAACATACTATACAAAAAAGAAACTCACCTATAGTGGCAGAAGGTTCCACAGGATTGGCATCTTTATACCAAAGAATTTCTGGTGTAGGTGTGCCCTCAGCTGTACAAGTGAGAATGATAGCATCACCCAAGTTGACGTAAATAATTTCAGATGGAGTATCCGTAAAACGTGGTGGAGCATGTACATCAAGGTGGAACCAAGTACCATTTTTGTGCGAGTTCGGAGACCGGTTAAGGAATACCACCTTACATTCGTACCTACAATACATAACGTGAATAAAACCACAGATCAAAATATACACATTTTTGTTTGCAATTCGTTAGAAAGCAAATAATCTCAATTTTCATATTGAATGCTAAGTTTATTTATTCGTAATATTTAATAACACATAAGAGATGACTGAAACTTGTTACAGACCAAAGTCAATAATATCTTCCAACGAAAAACAGACCCAGAATATAAACAGTAGTGTACAATAGGCAAGGCAATAAAATAAAAACAAATCTTTTAATTTTTTTCTTGTTTCTTATCATTGAGGTAGAATAAGACGAGGAAAGATAGTTTGAAAAGCGCCTGATACTGCGCTTTCGAGATATATAATTAATCGATGTTAATTGATAGTCTTCCAAGGATCGAACAACTATCTGGTCAAAACTTTGGTCTCAAGAATTTGAATTTAATAAATTATATATTTATATCTATACTAATATTATAAAGAGGAAAGATTTGATTGTTTGTTTGCATTGAATAGGCTCCGAAACTACTGGATCGATTTGAAAAATTCTTTTACCATTAGAATCCTACATCATCCCTGATGAACATAGGCTATAGAATATTATATATCGAGAATTTGCACAAAAAGGTCTTTCATTGGTTGTGTTCTAGGGCAATAGTGTCACCTAGGAATGGTAGTGTCAACGAAATAAACCATCTGATTATTCAAAAAGTCCCCGGTCACATAAAAAATTACGAATCGATCGACACCGTCACCAATATCGACGACGCAGTCCATTATTATTCACAGGAATTTTTAAATTCACTGAACCCTTCTGGACTGCCACCACACGAATTGACGTTTAAAATCGGAACTCCAATAATGTTTTTGAGAAATTTAAGCTCCCTGAGCATGTGCAATGGGACGAGGCTGCTTATTAAGGGATTAAAAGACAATTTAATTGGAGCGACCATTATCAACGGCCCAGCAGCTGGCCAACTAGCTCATATACCGAGGATACCCAACTGATCTGCCAATTCCACTTAAACGGCTTCAATTTCCGCTAAAAACATCTTTCGCGTTAATTATTAGCAAGTCCCAAGGCCAAACCTTCGAATTAGTAGGGATCGACCTACGAAAAGAATGTTTTACTCATGGCCAACTGTATGTTGGCCTATCGCGGGTCGGAGCTCCTGAAAATCAATTTATTTTGGTGCCACAAAATAAAACAACATTAAATATCGTTTACAGGGAAACTCTGACCCAATAAATTTAATGGCTTATGTTTTGTAGATATGATATTTTTACAAATATTAGAATTAAAAATAAAATAATCAAATATTAATATTATTATCATAATGTACTCTTTTTAGTAACCCCCGACGCAAAAAGAAGGGTGTATATGTGTGTGTTATAATTTATAATTTTTGAAATTTTTGTTAAATACCCACCCGTGCGAAGCCGGGGCGGACCGCTAGTATTTTATAAATTAATAAATAATAATTTAATGGAAGCAGTAAATACATTCTGTGTTCCATTGCTAACATATTGTTTTGGAATAATGGAATGGTTAAGACTGATTTTGAAAATTTAAACATCTCAAGAAAATCATTTACACAGTTTAGAAGACATCATCCGAAGTCATCAATTGAGAAATTTTCATTATCAGGCCAGAACCTAGGATGGAGATACCAGATCTTTCGGAATTGAAGAAATACTTTCTGAGACGGGCAGAAAAAAAACGAACTGTTTCGCGCCATAAAAAGGGTAGACTTGAACGACACATCCTTAAAACTATCCAATTCCGAAGAAATCCCCACACTCCACAATCTAGACAACACAATAAGTGGGTTGAAACAAACACAACTGCATGGGAAATTTTTCAAAAAACTAGACGATATCAACAAAAAAAATCAAGTTTATATGCCGAAACTCAAGGATTTTTGTTTGCTATTCAAGACCAAGTAATTAATACCAAGAATTACAGAAAATACATAATCCAAAATCCAAATATAAGAAACTACTGTTATCGACTTTGTAAAGAAAAACTCGAAACGATGCAGCACATTACTTCATCCTGTGGCATCCTGGCAGAAACTGACTAATAAGCATTCACGTTCGGTAGAAGTAACTGACAGAAACTTTTCTGTGGTTAAGTTGCAATCTTAAGATCACTAGAAATTTAAGATTGGCATCAACTGTCTAATTTTCTAATTCAAATGTCAAATCTGAATTGTGTGGAAAAAAACCGAAGTTTTTCTAATTTCAACACGCTTCGTTTCAAGAAAATCCTTAAATACAGCATGGAAACAATTTCCATAAAAGTAGTCACGAGAAAGCCCATTTTAAAGGAAAAGAAACAAGAAATATTTCGTGGTTTTCAAAAAATTGGGTAAAGCAGAAACAGTTAAACTGGTGGCAGAAATATTCTCCATAAAGTTCGCTAGTGTTGTCGAGTGTTTTTCGAATTTTAAAATAATACAGATACAACGGCGCTGGTGCTGTTAATATTATAATCAGAATCAGAAAGACGACTGCGCAGATTTATATACCTACATGCTTTGTTAGTTCCGTTCTACAATTGGTTTTTAAGTTTTATATAATTATTATTGTTTTGTAAGAGGGAAAACACTCGGCTTTGAAAATAATTGTACGTAATACACGTATAAATTTAGGTTTCCGAAGGCGAAGTTTTTCACATTTTAAACACGTTATAGCTGCCAGAATCAAATTTCTAAGGCGGTACCTATCTCAAATTGCGTGATTGTGGTGAAGATTCATTTTTCATTTTCTTGGATGAGACATGGATATACCAGAACGGATCCATGATAATGACATCAAAGCTTGTCCTCCTAAAATAACTAATGAAGAGAAAAGATTCACAATTTTACATGCGGGTTGGTCTTTGGGCTTTTAGAGGGATGCGATTTTCTCCTTGATTCAAAAATAGATTCACCAGATTACCACAAAACCATCACATTTTCGATATTTGACATTTACTTACTTAAATGTCACATTTTTGATACCTACTTTCTGACATTCCAGTAATACATTATACACTAGAACAATTATGTCCGCAGTTACACAGCTTAAAAAAAAAGTTACCAAATCTAGTTAGGTACATCTACCGAACATGAATTCCTTATACAAAGCTAGACTCGACAACGCGGCCAAAATTATTTACAAAGACTTAGCAACAAATCTAAACTTGATCCAAGGTACTACACCCTAGAGTCCCTAGATATACTTTAGAAAAGAGTTGTGACACGGACATTTTCTGTTTCTGTCTCTTTTACATGACGGTCAGTTGATTGCTGTCTTTATTTAATTTATTAGTGATTTAGTTTCAAAAACTTCATAGCTTAAGTTAAATTTTCAAATAGTGGCGTAGAGCTCGAAATAGTTTCTTTGAAATTTTGTTGACAGTACTCACACTAACAGTACCTTGTATTTAAAAAGAAATGTTATGCAGTTAAATATTTCTTACAAGTTGCAACCGGCATCTCTGGTAAAATAGAAAAATACGGAATAATCATATTGATTTACACTTTATGAGATTGTCACAATTTGCAGTTAAGTTTGAACACCATTCTGTACCCAAGTACTGTCGCTGTCCCCAACGTAAGATTTGGAGAGTGTATCATATTGTCAGTGTCTAATCGTTTTGCTTCTGCCCAAAAGAACATTTTGTGATTTAAAGAATTGAGAAGGTGCTGTGCACCGTGGTAAGAAGTTTGAAATAGGTTTAGTAGTGAATATCTCTTCGGATATGCAGAATAATCTCAGTAGAAATATACATGTGCCTCCACATGAAGTAAAACTTTTCAGTTAAACTGGGCTGCTTTTTTTATTAAAATTACAATGGAGATATTATAAAAGCAAGCAGGGTCCATCGAACTTCTGTAACTCGAACTATTTAGGAAATGTTCCACAAACAATTAATTAAATGACCGAAGAATACATGAGATCGGATTCAATACTTTTACTACCCCTATAATATGTACTAGATTTTTTAATTGCACTTCGAAAATTATGTTTTACTTTTCCTAATTAAATTCTAATTCCGTATAAACAAAACATTTTATAATTTTATGCTTTACTGTATGACAAAAAGAAAAAAAAATGTTTTTGGAACGAAGTTCCTTACGGCAGGCTTGGAGGAGATAGGGATTTTGCTGCGCGACCGAACTGAAACAAATGTGATAGTAAAACCGTAAGAAAAAGTCCGTGGAATAAAACCGTTAAATGTGACGTGCGCAGGCGCGACAGTCGTATACACAAGCGAGTAGTGGATAATATAGTCAACCAAGACCTATAAGGTTATATGGCCATCATAAAAGTAGTTGACGCAAATAAATACCCCCTTTGTGTGGTTCGCACTAAGCTTACCGGTTGGCAATAAATCATCTTCTAAACATTTCTTGCTCATATTTAACAGGGCCGGCTTTCAAAGCGAGTGGTTATTTCGGAACCCTCAGCGGCTGCATGTAGTAAAGAAATAGTGGAGTGGTGGATTTTCATATTTAGTGAAAGCCGCCCCTGAACGAAACCACAAGAGCCGGTCGAGCTGCAGTGGACACGTTATTTACGACCCTAAAACCTTTTCTATTGTAAACAACTTAACTTCGACACAATGGGATGATTTTATGATGGCCATATAACGTTATAACACTTGGTTCACTATAATACCTTTCGCTTTCTCCCTCTTTCTTTTCGTTCTTTCATCCCTTTTTAAATAATTAAAACAAATTCTCCCTTCAATTCCAAACATTTAAATATATATATATATTGATAATTCTACCTATTTTACGTAATTTATTATTTCCTAAAATACTGAATTTCCTAAATACTTTCCTGTACTTAAATAAAAACTAATCAGCAAAATTTAAGAGAAAAATCAAGAAAACCTACATAAAATTGAGCACGATTTTTTTTTTGCAAATTGTGTCGATTCTACATTAGCCGAAGGAACTTCGTTCCTACCTGGTATCCCACGACACCACATCTTTTTTAATAAGAAAATCATTAAAAACGTAGTATTTG